TCCTGCATTGCAGGTGAATTCTTTTTTACCAAAAATTTACCAAGAATCACCTTGGACTGGAGCTATTCACTTCAGGATTACAGAGTGTTCCACAATGTATTAAAATTTGTAGCTGCTTCCATTTGAGAGCACCTCCCACACGGCTGGCATTTTGCTAAGCCCTTAACTTTATCTCTTTGAAGACAGGAGGACACTGTGGCTAAGAGTTCCAACACAATCAGACTGAACCGGCTGCCACTCCAGTACAGCGGGAGTTGTGTGGCCTTGGGCAAGTTTCTCAACCTCTCTGAGCTGAAGTTTCCTCATCTGATGCCTCTGACCTCAAACTCTGCAGTATTACACCGTCCCCTGGGGCCATCTTCACTGCCTGGTCCTGGCAAGAGGGAGCCAAGAGGATCAAACAGGAATATTTTTCAGGTCAGGCTCCACAATCCCAGACAGAAGCCTCCAGACAAGGGTATGATCTTGGCTGAGGATACTAGACTGGCCTGAAGTCCCCCAGCCCCGTGAACAGGGGAGGGGAGGCCCCTCAATTAGAAACAGAACTGGGATCTATCACAGACCTTAGGGGGTTTCCCAGGTGGCTCAGTGGTAAAGAATCTGCCTGCCAATGCAGGACACATAGATGATGTGGGTTCAGTCCCTGGTTCGAGATGATTCCCCTGGAGGAGGAAATGGCAACCCACACCAGTATTCTTGCCTGGAAAATCCCAGGGACAGAGGAGCCTGGCGGGCTACAGTCCATGAGGTCACAAAGAGTCAGACACGACTGAACACGCACACAGGCCTTGGGACTCCTGGTCCAGTGCTCCCTCAACAATAGGCCCTCAGAGAATCTGCTTTTGACATACAGACCCTGGGTGACTAGGTTTTTCCTCTTTTCTCTACCCCAGAATATCCAGAATAAGTAAATCCATAGAGTCAGAAGGCAGATAGGTGGTTGCCCGGGCTGGAGAAAGGCGGGAATGGGTATGGGACTTCCTTTTGGGTTGATGATGTTTGGAACTATTGTAGATGGAGGTGGCAGTTGTATACATTGGGAAGGTACTAGGTGCCACTGAATTGTTCTCTTTAAAATGGTTGATCCTATGTTAGGTGAATTTCACCTCAATTAAAAATAAGGGTGCCTGGGCTTCCCTGGTGGTCCAGTGGTTGAGAATCCATCTGCCAATGCAGGGGAAAGGAGTTCGATTCCTGCTCCGGGAAGATTCCACATGCCCAGGGGCAACTAAGCCCATACACCACAACTACTGAGCCCATACACCTAGCGCCCATGCTCTGCAACAAGAGAAGCTGCCACAGCGAGAAGCCTGTGCGCCATAACTGGCAAGCAGCCCCATTCGCTGCAACTAAGGAAAGCCCTCGTGAAGCAACGAAGACCCATTGCAGCTAAAAGTAAAACTAATTAGTTAACTTTTTAAAAAGGGTGAATTCTGGGGAATTCTGCAGTGGTCCAGTGGTTAGGACTCTGCACTTTCACTGCTAAGAGTGTGGGTTCGATCCCTGGTCAGGGAACTAAGATTCTGCAAGCCACTAAGGCACAGGCAATAAATAAATACAATACATTTAAAAACCATAAGGGTTCCTATAGGTAAGAGATTACAGGAAGAGCACGCAAGTGCCAAGGGGGGAAGGGAAGGTGAAGGAGGGCCTGAGGTGTGAGGGAGGGAGAAGGATGTTGGAGAGTTGCAGAAACAGGGACATTTGCGGTGGGGGAAAGGCTTGAGGGAGGGGGCTTTCCTAGGCTGCCGGGGAGGGTGGCCTGGAGGATGTAGTTGGTTGAGGAAGCAGAGCTGGATCCTGTAAACTTGGGAGCCACTGCCCTTTAGAGGAAGGAGGGAGAACCAGGAGAGGGAGTGGGGCAGGCGCTTTGAGCAGCTTTGAGCGTTTGCTTCTTCTCAGACTTTAGACTGGAAGCTCCTGGGGGTGGGGGCAGGGACCTCATCTTCGCTGTTTTTAATTTTCTGAGCAGAACGTCATCAAGGTAGGCAATTCCTTTAGAAACCCGGACACCAATGGAATGAAATCAAACACGTTAAGCAACAGGAAGATCACCCACCGCCCGCCCACACCCTCACCGGGGAAGTGAGGCTGGCACTGGGCTGAGTGCGGGTGCCACCTCCGAGCAGCAGGGGGGCTGCCGAGACTTCCCTGGGCCAAGAGGCTACCCCTCACCCCTGGCAGGCCCCAGAGCCCCCAGCGGGCAGCACCCACCGAGGGTCTGGGATGGGAGAAGGGGATGGCTGAGCACCTTGGGCTCCTTTGTCAGACCCAGGAAGGAGAGTGGGGGCAGCTACAGGAAGCAGGGGGGGTGAGGAGCTCCCTCCGGAATCCATCCCCCCACTTCCCTCCCCTCCGGCTTTGCACCGCTCTGCACATGCTCTGTGTGCCCTTGAATTGGGTTGGCTGGGGGAGGGCATTTACTGGCACCCCCACTTAAAGGGCCAGTGCCATCCTTGCCCGTGCCCAGTGGGGCAATGGGACCTGGCCACCCTCTTCACTCACATTGAATGACTGACTTCACCTTGACCCCCATCCCCCTTTCCTGGCAAGCTCCTCCCGCCCTGTCACCTCTTATTCCCCGACCCCACCGCAGGCAGGGACTGTCCATTGGACACAAGGGTGTCCACCTTGGGTGGGGAAGAAAGAAGGATCCTAGACTAGGGTATGCAGTTTCTCCTGGGAGCTACCTGCTCCTCTGGGCCTCCCTCCCCCAGCCCAGGAGACAGAGAAGGTCCTGGAAAGCAAATGAGCTGGAGGGAATGAGGCCCTGGGCATCTGCTCTGGAAAGGCCAAGGGAGGAGAGGAGTGTCCAGGCCCAGCTTGACCAGCAAACAGGGTGATGGGGGCTATAGCCTGGAGCTTCCTCACCGAAGTGGGCTCCTGGGAGAGGGAAAAGCAGGGAGGCAAAAAGAGCTGGCTCCACCCAGTGCTGAGGGTTAGGGACACTGAGGTCGGGGACCCAGATGGAGGTAGGGAGCGATACTGACTCTTCACTGATCCTCCTCAGCCCCTCCTGACACTCTCCCAGCTCACACCCTTCTCCTGTTTTTCTTTTTTTCTGTTTTCTTGCCCAGTCCTGGGCCCCACTAGCCTTGGAAAAATTATCCCACCTCAGTGTGACCCTGACCCAGAGCCCTTCAACCATTGTGTGTGTGCATGTGTGTGTTGGCATTATGGCAGCTTTTCGGTCTTCAGGCTCCTCAGCTCCTTGGCCGAGAAAGGCCAAACTCTTCACCTGTCCCCTCCCCCACGTGCAACTTCTGCCTGCTCTGGGACACGCTGGCCCAAGCTGCCTCCTGGACACACCCCCAGCACCCTCTCCCTCGACACTGCACCCACACCCCTCCCCCTACACTCTCACAGCCCTCTGGAATCTTCTCTCCCCTCCTAGTTACTTTTACACACACACACTCACACACACAGAGGCCTCCCGGTGGGTAAACAACTCTGTCCTGGCCCTGGCCCTCCCCTTTCCCTCTGGCTCCACGCTGAGGAATGCAGCTGCTGGGAGGCTGCCTGCGCCCTGCCCAGGGGCCTTCAGGTCCCTGGCTAGCACCCCCACAGGGGAAGGCCAGCATAGGGCCAGCTTTCCTGGAACCCAAAAGCGGCTTCCTCTCTGAGCCTAGGGCTTTCCGTCTGCAAAGTGCAAACGATCATTCCTCCAGCCCTTTCCTGACAGAGCTGTCTGGGATCAGAGGGGAGAGGGCTGACTCTCAGCCTGGGCTGGGTCAGGGGAGACCCCAAAGATGGGAGATTCTGCCCTCATAAAAACCCATCCTTTCCTAGAATCTGTTCTGGCCTTTCTTCTGGAAGGCGCTGGCGAGGCCTGGGTGTGGCAGGGTAGAAATGAAAGTTATCCTGGCAACACATGGGGTTTGTCAACATTTCCAATCCCAGCAGCTCCCAGGCCTGAGCCTGTCTCTCCCCCAACGTGGCCTGTCAAGATGAGTTTTCCTGAAACGGAGGTTAGGCTGGGCCAGCCAGGCTTCCACCGCTCCCTGATCACAGTGGCAGAGCCAACACACGCTGGTTGACTAACTTCCCCTACACCACCGCAGCCTGACACTCTGCAGCCACAAGAACAAGAGACGAGGTGCCTGGGGAAGGGTGGGTCTGAGTGTGAGGGGGTGTGTGAGCTCGCTTCAGAGCCCACACTGCTGGTGTGTTGGTGGCATATCCAGGATGACTCAGCTCTCTATTAGACAAGACAGGTGAGGGGCTCACCTCTGAAGGAATTAACCACACAGGTGATTAGGCTAAAAGGAGTAGGGATGCACAGGTGCACAGCAGGCCTCCAGCTCTGCTAAGGATCAATCCCCTGTCCAACCGGCCTTGGGGTCATTTTCCATCAGCTGAGAGACGTGGGGGGCAGTTAGGGAGACTGTTAAGGACAAGGAGACACGAGGTCCCCAGACCTTGTCTAGCCCAGACCTCTACACTGTGGAGAGAATAAAGGAAATACAGGGAGCCTGGGAATACACCCTGAAGAAACCCCTGGCCTTGAGCCCAGGCCTCTCTCCTCTAGGGAAACTCCCAGTTCCTCAAGGCAATCTGGCATCTTCAGTCAGGCTCTGGCTGAACCTGGTGGCTCCCTCCCTCCTCTGCCTTCCCCTCCTTAAAACCTTCGCAGCAGGTGATGGTTCCTGGATACTTGGAGCAGCTTCAGGCAACCAAGACTCGAGAGGCCCCCCAGGGCAGGGGTCTCCCAGGCTTGAGGCAGCCCCAGGCCTCTCTGGGAAGAATGGGCTTTGGTTCTTTCTCACAGCAGCCCTAGTGAAACCAATGCTAGTCACTCCCATGTGATCTCACCAAAATCATTTAATTCCTTTGTGAAAAGTAACATGACATCCAAGATCAAATTGTGGATATGACAAGGTAGAAGCCTGAGCCTGTATAGGCTGTTCTCAGGGAGAGCAGGGGGACTGAGACCTGCCTCGAGACTCAGCTGGCCTGAGGGTACACTCCTTGAGTCAGCCTGGCTGGGGCGGGGGGCACCCCTAGCGGCCCGGCTGCCCACCACGGCGGCAGCCTTCTCGATTCCGGTTCCACATCTCGTTCTCCTGCCGAAGTTGCTGGTTCTCCGTCTGGAGCCGCTGGTTCTCCATCCGGAGCCTCTCTACCTCGGCGGCCAGTTCCTCCACCTGGCAACAGGGGTAACCGCTGGTGCGCCTCGGCAGCTGCTGCCGCAGCCTCCTCACCTCCTCCTCGGCCTGGGACAGCTGCCTCTCCAGATCCAGAGAGTCTCGCACCAGCTCCTCCTTGCTGCGGCCCTGCAGGCTCTTGGGGAGATGGCGCTCATAGGCCTCAGAGAAATCCTTCTGCTGGAACTCCCCACAAGTGTGGCCCTGCCCGTCACTGTCCCCGGCCTCACTCTCCCCACTGGAGCCTGGGTGGGAGGCCCCCTGGGGCACATCCAGGTTGGGCTCCTTGGGGTCTCGGTCGTTCATCAGGAACTGGGTGGTGGTGTAGGGTGCCACGGGCTGGCCTTTGGCGAACAATTCTTCTCGGACCCGGGAGGCCCGCTGGCTCTGCCTCTCGTCCCGCTGTTGCTTCTCAGCCCAGCTGAGCTCCAAGTAGGGCCGCCAGTGCCGCTTGCGCTTTGTATATGTGCTGCCAAAGTGAGCATGCTGCTTGCGCTTTGAAGGCCTCCGGCGGTGCTTCTTCCGGGCCAGGGGCCAGCATGGCCTCTGTGGAACAACCCCCTGGGCTCTGGGCCTGGGGACTCCTACCATTCCAGTCCAGGCCACCGCCAGCCTCAGGAGGGTCTTCCTCCTCTGAGTGGCTCTCCATCCGAGGGGTCAGGGGCTGGGAACCTCCAGGGTCATGAGGCTCAGGGGATGTTCGGGGGCTCCCACAAATGCCAGAGATCTAAAGAGAGAGGACAAAGGAGAAGGGATCACAGATGGCCTCTCCCCAGTGGTGGAATTCTTCTGTTCACCCAGCCTGAATCTGACCTGCGCACACCCAGCTCACTTGGTCCCTCTCTAGCCTCACACCTTCTACAGCCATCTGTCAGTTTATGGGCTTACCTGTCTACTGTCTGTCCTCTAACCCTCCCCAAGCAAACTCATGGGGAGAGCCAGAATCTTGCCTGCATTTCTCACTCTGTAATTTCAATACCTGCAACAGTATCTGGCATAGAGTAAACATTCAATAAATACTCTGAAACAGGATGGAAAGTCGCTCATGATGTATTTACTTGATCAGAAGCCCAAACAGCACTTGCCCTTCCCTCTTTAGAAAGCTTCTCTTACATGGATGGACCCAGAGATTATTATACTGAGTGAAGTACGTTAGAGGAGAAATATCATATGACATCCCTATATGTACAATCTACAAAGAAATGATACAAGTGAACTTACCTAGAAAACAGAAACAGACTCACAGACTTATAAAAAGAACTCTGGTTGCTGGGAGAAGGATGGTAGGGAGGGATAGTTAGGAGTTTGGAATGGACATGTATACACAGCTATATTTTAAAATCGATAACCAATAAGGACCTACTGTACAGCACACGGAATTCTGCTCAATGCTATGTGGCAGCTTGCATGTGAGGGGAATTTGGGGGAGAATGGATACATGCATACAAATGCCTTGTGCGTGCTTAGTCGCTCAGCTATGCCCAACTCTCTGCGACCCCATGGACTGTAGCCCACCAGACTCCTCTGTCCATAGGATTTTTCAGGCAAGAATACTGGAGTGGGATGCCATTTCTTTCTCCAAATTGTGCTGATCCAAGAATCGAACCCACGCCTCCTGTGTCTCCTGCATTGCACGTGGGTTCTTTACTGCTTAAGCCCAGGTGACGCAAGTGGTAAAAAAAAAAAATCTGCCTGCCAATGCAGCAGGCATAAGAGACGTGGGTTCTATCCCTGGGTCAGGAAGATCCCCTGGAGGGCATGGTCACCCAATCCACTATTCTTGCCTGAAAAATCCCATGGATGGAGGAGCCATAGTGTCACAAACAGTTGAACACAACTGAAGTGACTTAGCACAGCACACACACGTGTATGGCCAAGTCCCTCTGCTAGTCACCTGAAACTATCACAACAGTTAATCAGCTATATTCCAAAACAAAATAAAAAAAATTTTTTTAAAGAAAATTAAAACTTACCTTTCAGGCAAAGCTAGTTTCCTGGCAAATGACCTGTACTGTCCCACAGAACCCCCATTCAGAAAGGCCCCAAGCTTAGCGCTTTGCTTAATCTCTGCTGTCATTGTCTTGAACTTCTTAGTAATTTTGAATTAGAAGCCCCATAATCTATGTGGCCAATCCCACTTCCAGCTATCTGCATAGCTAATTCTTTTTCATCCCTTAAGGTTTAGTTCCAATGTCAGCTCTTCAGAGGCCCTCCCTGACCACCCTATCTATGTGGCCCCCTCCTCCGCTTCCTAGTGACCCCCTGATATGTGACAGTTAAGTGTCCCACTTAGCATTAGCACATTACCATTTACCGTCTTTCTCTTCCCTAGAAGAATGGGTCCTGTCCGGTTCACCACTGTGTCGCTATGTATGGCTCAAGGTGAGTGTTCAATAAATGTATATTAAATGACATGAGCCCAGAAGAAGGGGGTGGGGGGGACCCAAAAGATATCAGAACACGAGACTCTCTTTTCTGTCATTCCAGGGTGAATGGAGTGTATTTATTCCAGGCAGAAGTTGCTATCACTCTTCTACAGGAGGGCCAGGAAAGCACTAGGGAGAGGAAGGGCCAATCTCCAGTCTGTAGCCCAGAGAATTCTAGAACTTATCTAAGAGGTGGAAAGGATTCTGTCTCTGTCAAGAGTGTGTGTGTTCAGGGCATCTGTTTATCTCCCTCGTGGTGAGGGTGGGAGCACTGAGTGTGGGGGGAGGGGAATGAATTGCTAGAAGTTTGTGGTTTGGGGAATTCTAATAATAACTACTAGCATTAGAACAGTGTTTTATAATGTTTAACACATTATATGTTCTGTTCAGGGATCTCTGAGCACGGGTCTATACAAACATAGGGTTTGTCCTGGGAGATGGACACGGTCCTATAAGAGTTGGAGGTGTGTTAACATGCATTTGGGAGACCCCGAAGTCCACTTCTTAATTTGGGATGGGGTATTTTGGAGGCGCGCGCGTGTGTTTGTGTGTGTTGTTGGTTGTGTTGTATTATTACTTTACCTGCAGGTAGAATATCTATCAAGAGTGACTGGCCATGTCTTCACCAGTGTCTTGGGCCAACGGAGAAGAGCTTCTGCTCCATCCAGGAAGAGGCAAGGCCACTGGGAAGTCTGAGGTGGGGGGCTCATTTGTGTGTGCACAGTCATCCACCCGTTCCCAGCCCTCAGCAAATGTCCCGCAGGAGCTCACCCCCACCCAAGCCAGCCCTGCACTCAGCCCCACATGCCGCCCCCCTCCTAAAGGCCTGTCCCTCTACCACCATTACCACTACTGCAGGTAAGCTGTGTGATCTGGATGAGTCATCTGCCCTCTCTGAACCTGACATGCCATGAACTCCAAGTTAAACCCAGAAAATATACTGGAGGTAGCTAGGTATGGAGGGTCAGAGGGCAAGCATTCCCTCCTTACCTAAGGGAAAAGAATGGGCAAGGTGGGGGCAGTGAGACAGCACACAGGCTGGGAGGCTTTGGGCTCCTGCTATTGATCAGAAGGTGATGTTCTCTGACTCTCCCCTCTCTCCTGGGTGATTTTCTACCCACTAAACCCAACCTAAATTATGAACCAATGGCTCAAACTCTTCTCCCTGCTTCAGACTTGGTTCTCAGCCTAGACAAAAATGCAAGGCAGGGTTCTGTTGTTTAAGGCCCTAAGCTTAAATCCTAGGTCTTCTGCTTGCTGGCTGCATGATTCTAGAAAAGGCACTTCAGGGGACTTCCCTTGCAGTCCATGCTTCCACGGCAGGAGGCAGGGGTTTGATCCCTGGTGGGGGAACTAAGATAGCAAAGGCTGCCTGGCCCAGGAAAGAGGAGGGGAGGTGTGGGAGTGGGTAAGCATTGACAGAAAATCATTTTTTTTGAGATAGCATCTAGCATGTTGCTCAGTGCACAGTAGGGACTCACTTAAAAAATACTGGTTTCCCAAACCCACCACCACATCTGAGACAAGAAGCCACAATCCCAGTTGGCAGGATCCACCTTTAGGGCACTAAGGTGGTTGGGAGAATGGGGCTTACCTTGGCCTCCTCCAGGGCGGCTGGTGGTGGTCGGTTTGGAGAAGCCACCTTCTTCTGTTCCCAATCTTTCATCAGAGGCCTTTAACTAGTGACACCTGCTTTAAATAACACAAACTTCAGTCCAGAAGGAGAATTTTCAGGAGGGCTCTGGCTGCCCAGCAAATGTTTACCAAGGCAGCGGCAGCCATTTTGTAGCATCAGACCTACATACCTTCATTTTCAAATAAAGGGCCAGGAAGGCTGCCTCCACCCTGGTTTTCACGCCTCCAAGCAGGGAGGAGGTCAAATGGGGATCAGGGAACCATCTTTCCAGCCCTGTTCCTCAGGTCCCAGGCCAGGGCTTACATCTTATTCTTCTGAAAGTCACCAAGGCCAAAGCAAGCAGCTAGGCAGCTACAGAGGAGAACCAAAGAGGGGGAAAAAGACAGCCTGGGGAGGCGAATATACAGCAATGATCTGGAGAGGCAGGGAGTGGAGTCGGTCAGTAGCTCTGACAAGCCTGAGGAGGAGTCCTTTCTCCACTGCCTCCAGAGGCCCCTATCTTGACTGCAGCCTCCCACCTCCATTTCTGGAGCGCTGGGCTCCAGAAATCAACGCCCCAAAAGACACCACTGACACCTAGGCCCAGCTTGGGACTGAGGCCCTTTCATCTACATGGTTTGGCCGGCTTCCCTCCTCCTTCTCAATGGAAAACAGAAGAAAGGGAAAAAGATGTCTTCGCGCTATAGACAACTGGGAGGGAAAGTCAACTGGGATAAGGATGGATTCCTTGGAAAAGGGGAAATGATCCGGGAAGATTTTGCAAAGGCAGAACTGACCTATTTGCTGTCAGGGGCCATGCACAGGACTACGTCTGTGTGTCTTTCTGTGCGACCGCCTGTGTGTGCAATTCCCAACGCCTCAGCCCTACCCACTGCTGCAGCTCTAGTGAAGCCGCTCGGGCACTAAAGTTGAGGGGAGGGGGCCCTTCCCAGGGGCCCCCCTCCCCCCACGGCCCCGCCCGGCAGCGCTGTGCCTGCTGGGGATTGTAGTTCTTCTGGCTGGGGAAGGCGGGGATCAAGAGCCTGTAACGTCGACAAGCACACAGAAAACTCAAAACCCATCTACCCTTTCGCGAGCGGCATCCCGCGCTCATCGATGCCTCCCTTGATTGGTCCATTCACCTGTCAATATTTCCCCGTTCGTCAACGATTAGCTGTGCGGAAGCACAATCAGACCCGCCTACCATAGCTCAATTAAAGAGTTCATTGATGGCGTTAATCTATACTGGGAAGAAAATAGATCCGGCTGAAGGGGGAGGGGCTTGGGCGCGGAGGTATCCTCGGCCCTAGAGGAAGGCGACGAGAAGGATCGGTGGCCGCCGCCGCCATTTTGGGCTGGGAGGAGGCAGCGGAGGGACTCGCTGCGCAGTGAGAGCACCCCATGGGGGGTGGTCCGGGCGCGGGGAGAGGCCGGGCCGAGTGGGCTGCCTGAAGTGGCGGCGCCGGGAGACGGCGGGAGTGGGACCGGGGGCCGCGGGGGTGAAGGCTTGAGTCTCTCCGGCCGGGCCCGGTCCTCAAACCGTCCCGGCA